GTTGGAAACAAGGACTAAAACCAGATACACTAAAGAGACAAGTAGCTGCTCTGGCAGCAGTCCTGGACTGTAGAGGACTGCGCACTTTACTACGTATGTTAGGAGATTCCTTAAGGAAACAGTGCAGCTAGCACCCCCAGTGAGACATAGAGTCCCCATCTGGAGTCTAATTAAAGTTGCCCAAGCACTTACCAGAGGTCCATTTGAGCCACTAAAACCCATGGAGCTAAGATTTCTAAAGTGGAAGGTTGCCTTTCTGGTGGCGGTGACCTCCGCTTGGAGAATTTCAGAACTGGGGGCCTTGCCAGTTAGAAGAGAACTATGTGTGTTCTACTTAGAATAGACCCATCCTTCATTCCAAATGTAAAATTGGCTTATCTTTAGACCAGGAGCTTGTTCTGCTTGGGGAGAAAACTCTCAAAGGTCACCATTGCCCTTTAGGTAAAACTCTGCATTTGTAAAGCCTATGAGGGTCACATTCCACCAGGGCGGGGGCTGCCTTGGTGGCCTTCTCCACTAGGGCTCCTGTAGACAAGATATGTAGGACAGCCACGTGGTCATCCTTTTCTACCTTTGTAAGGCACTATAGGATTGACCAGCAGGATTCAATCGGGGCAACCTTTGGGGAAAAAGTCTTACAGCAAGTAGTGTGGTGAGTCTGTAGTAAGAAGTGCCTTTGCTAATACATCCCACCCCATCAAGTGGCTTTGGCACTTGACCAGGAGCTTGTTCTGCTTGGGGAGAAAAGTCTCAAAGGTCACCATTGCCCTTTTTGGTAAAACTCTGCATTTGTAAACCCTATGAGGGTGTTAACTGCACATTCCATCAGGGCGGGGGCTGCCTTGGTGGCCTTCTCCACTAGGGCTCCTGTAGACAAGATATGTAGGACAGCCACGTGGTCATCCTTTTCTACCTTTGTAAGGCACTGTAGGATTGACCAGCAGGATTCAATCGGGGCAACCTTTGTGAAAAGAGTCCTACAGCAAGTAGTGGGGTGAGTCTGTAGTAAGGAGTGCCTTTGCTAATATATCCCACCCCATCAACTGGCTTTGGCACTTGACCAGTTTGGATGACTTCCCTCACTGAAGGAGAACGAAACATTGGACTTACCTGAAAGTTTCTTCTCTTCAGTGGGATGAAGTCATCCACTTCCCACTCAATAAATAAATCAATAAATAAGGAAAGTAGAAGGCAAGTGGGAGGTAGAGGTAGTCTACGACTACTGATTGGAAATCAAAGGTCAGATAGAGCTAGAGTATGGAATGACTGGAGAGGTGGTCTTGCTTCTCCCAAGTCAGTTGCACAAAGATTTGCATTGCCCTGCCTGGAGCAAGAGGAGGTGTGACCCTAACCAGCTTGGATGCAGTGGGATGAAGTCATCCACTTCCCACTCAATAAATAATAAATAAGGAAAGTAGAAGGCGAGTGGGAGGTAGAGGTAGTCTATGACTACTGATAGGAAGTCAAAGGTGAGCTAGAGTATGGAACGACTGGAGAGGTGGTCTTGCTCCACCCAGGTCAGTTGCACAAAGATTTGCATTGCCCTGCCTGGAGCAAGAGGAGGTGTGACCTAACCAGCTTGGATGACTTCGCCCCACTGAAAAGAAACCTTCAGGTAAGTCCAATGTTTCGTTCTCCCATGCACATTTACTGTCCTGTTGCCAGAGGTTGGCAGCTTCTATGTGTATTTGCAATTTCAAAGACTTATTCCTCTTTGATGATGGCATGGTTCTGTTGGTGGTTCAAAGTATTAGATGACAATCTCTAAAAAATGGATTAGTAATCTGAGTTTCTGGGCTGAGTTTCTGGGCTGAGTTTCTGGACTGGCGTTTCCCCCCTCCTAGGCAGTGTGTGTCTAGAGAAGCCAGGGCGGAAAGAAGATGCAGAGTGGACCATGCCTTTTCAGTAGAGAAGAAAACTGTTTGCTATTCATGTACAGTTTGAAAATCAGCAGTGACAGTGAAGGAACTTAACTTTTACTTCCCTTGTTACTAAAAGCAGTGCTGAATAGTACTGTGCTAAATAGTGGAGTAGTTGATGATAGTAGGATCTCAGTAATGTGAATGTATTTTGTTAAAAGCCATTTTGGCATTCCATATACTGATAAGGTTTATGCAGCAACTGTCCCTTGATAACATCAGATGTTTAGGAGCTGGGGCTCAGATTGACTGCAGGTCCTGTTTGCGGCCCTGCGGGGAGAGTGGGGGATGGCAAAGAGGGCAATGGTGGCTGCGGCGGCTCTCGCCAGTGGGGCAGGGAGGGGTGGGCCGTGGCAAACACAGGAAGCTTGGTCCTGCCCTGGCCCTATGTTGGGCCTGTCCTGAGGGCTGGAGAGCATGGGCGGCCAATAAGGTCACTTAAGGTGCTCTTGCAGCTCACCCTTTTTGCTGCAAGGGTTTTTTTGCTCACCCACCCCCCTCCCCCCCTTGTTTCCTCTGTAAGTGGGGGGATGGCATGCAGGGTTTACGCTTGTGTTTATTTTCATACTTGTCACAACATGGGCAGTATCAGTGTGGGGGCAGATCCATTCTCAGGAAAGCCAGCCTGCATGCCCATTTCCCCGTGTATGGGGAATCCCCAATCTTTGACTGTTTACAAACTGGTGACTCCGGTAACTCATCAGATTCTCTTGAGCGTTTACCAGAGGCCATTAAACAAAGGTGAAATGAGTAGTAATTTCACCACCCACCACTGTAACAGAGAAAAAGTAAAATTCTTTGTCAATTTGCCAAGAGAAAAAACAACAATGTCAGATTGAGTCAATAAGCTAGCCAATTAGCTAGTCTCAAGTATGGCGATATCAGCAGTCCTACCACAACAAAAACTTGGCAAATTGCTCAACTACCCAACAGTTCCAGCTGAAAAATAAATCCAGTACGAACATAGGCACACTCGTGGGAGTTGCAATGTAGAGAAAACTTAATTAAAAACCTTTCAAAATTCTAGGCGTTGGAGCTCCAAAACAGGACAGCGTCAGCCTCCACGTATGCGTTGTTTCATGATACCAACCTGTTGTTTTTTTGTGGGGAATCCCCTTAAGGGATCTTAGGCTGAGGGATTCAAGGAGTGGGCCCTGCTCAGCGGCTGCCAGGGGCTAGTCTCATGCTCAGGTGACAGGGGAGGCCACTTAGTGGTGGTCATCCTTGTGGAATCCAGAGACCCGTCATCCCCATGGCTCTCAGGACCCCCAGCCAGTGGGCTGGGGTGGCCAGGATATCATCGACTCACTGGCGAGGCAGTCGATTCCATGACCCGGTTCCGCATGCTGTACCAAGACTTCTTACAGCTGTATTCAATAAACTTGTAGCCAGTTTATTCCAAACCAAGTTGTACATGTGTTATTCAAACTGTGGTCATAAACCAGGTTAACAGGTCATGGGGAATAGAACTCCCCTTCGCTGCCCCACGATCTCCCTTTGGTGCTTGGGGTGCAAGTAAATGTCGTCACTCTTTGACCCTAGGCCTATCAACAGAACCTAACAAAGTTGAGGCAAATCTTACTACTCAGGAGGATTTGAGCAAGTGCACATTACTCAGAGTAATTGAAAAACTTGATGAATGTTGGTTCTCTGGTGGAATATATTGTTAGTCTTGGGGAGAAGTACTTGAGAAATAAAATGCAAATAGCTCTGTATTATGTCAGTAACCTAAATTGCCTTAGTGAAATCCAGTAAGACTACTTAAGTTACTTAAAAACTGAATCCAGTGAAGAAGGTTATGATCCCAGTACAGTGAGTGTTAAATATACACTGGCAGGTTATCACTGGCTGCTGTGGACTGATTAGGGGCTTAGGGGGATGATAGACTCTATAACAGCTAACAAGTTTGCTTTGATCTTTGTATTTACAAGAAATGTGTACAAAAATTTCTTGGCAATATTACAACTTAATTATGTGTCATTATGCTGTGTAGGAAGAATAATTTAAATGTGGCCCTTGAGACTAAATGGTGCAAATATATTGCATCTTATTTTAGTTAGACAGACAAGCTAAATTAGGTATGTGATGAATTTGTTATGAATACAATTATTCAGTTAGTAAGTGGATGTATTCTGGGTCTGAAAGGATCCTTAGACTTTTATAAACTATTCCCAATTGAAATTGTTTATGTTCCTGGCCAAACTTGTTTGGGAAGCAAATATTAATGAGGATAGGGGTTGAGAGATGCGGGGTAAAAATGTGTCATATTTTGTACCTAGTTCAGATGGACTTTGGTAAATAGAATTTATCATTAGTTTTTGCAAAAATACTCCTGTCAGAGCTGCTCAGTTAATGCCTAATACTTTTGTTAGAGGCATTGCAAGTCTGAGCCACTGGCTTTGAATCTTGTCTTGAAGCTTTTCCTATTTATGAAAGGTTATGGAGTCGTGATAACGTGGCCTCCAGAAGAGAGGCCGCTCCTTCTTCGAACACCTCAGATAAAAGACATCTGGCTACTCTTGTACTCTGGCATGGCCAAAACCACTTCCTTCTGAACTTTGGTCCATTTGTATTCTATTTTGTGTTGTGGTAACCTTAAAAACAACTACATAATCCCATTCATTAGCAGAACTTTTTGTGGGTTAGCTGTGAAGGAGTTCTTGAATTTTGTGTCTAAGCTGCGTTTACCAAGTTTCTCTCTGTTGATTTGCTACTAAGTCCAACTTTCCTGTTTTCTTATATGAGCCACTGAGAATGCAGCATGTGTATTGCATATGACTTTGTTGCTTTCAACGATGTTTGCTAATCTTTTCAATTATATCAATACGCTATAGTAGATACTGTTGACTTGTCAGACAAATGGGCAAGCTGGAGCTTGTGGAATGAGCTGCTTTGTGATTACTTTCCTCTGGTTTTGCATAATCCTAATATAGGATTATAATGTTTGAATTGCTATTGGCTAGGCAATAAATGGTATAAACTGTGTGCATTCGTAATCTAGGCTGTATTATATTTTAATGATGGAAGCTGTTGCATCAGGATTTTTAGCATTTTGACTGTTACTCTGCTATTTTCTGCTAGGTAAGTGTAGTACAGGATTCTGTAAATATATCGGGACAGTCAAGTACAAATATGTTAAAGGTACCAGAATGCCGACTCGCTGAAGATCTAGGAAATCTCTGGGAGACAACAAGATTTACAGACTGCAGTTTTTATGTAGGAGGACAAGAATTCAAAGCTCATAAATCTGTCCTTTCAGGTACTTCCTACTTTTTATATCCTAATTTTAATGAAACGTACAATCTTGGTATGGTATTAAGACATATGTTTCTTGCCACAGCTCGTTCACCAGTTTTTAATGCAATGTTTGAACATGAAATGGAGGAAAGCAAAAAGGTGAGTGAATATTGTCCTTTGACATAATAAATTAAGGGAATTGTTTCCCGGAGGCATGTTAAGCTTTGATTTTACAGTAGGGTTGCCGTGTTTGGCTAGATTAACTACATTTCTTGACATAAAGTGCCCAGTTTAATTAGGCAGTAAGTTTTATGTAATTTTTAATACGTGTACTTACAAAAATGATGGGCAGAAAGCTTCAATTTAGAAGAGCTGTCTTATAGGAGGGAATGTCTCTTTATAATGGCTTCTGTTGTACCATGTGAGTGATCTCAGAACATAGGAAATTGCTTTAAACCTAGTCTGTGGACTAAAATGTTTAGTGTGCAGTCAGCCTAGTGTAGATGCTCATGCACCTGGAAGTACGCTTCGGGGGGGGGGGGGATCTAGTTTTCTGTGAAGCAGATGCTGCTAAAGTGCTACAGCAGCCTTGTAGGGAGAAGCATAAGGCTACCATGGCTGCTGCTCCTGGTCTGTAGAAAAATTAACCTGCTAGTTTCATGGAAGTAAAGTCTGTGGCTTGGGTCCCATGAACAAGTTCCACGCGCATTAGATAGCACCTGCCACAGGACACGCTTCCTCTTCCGTTTGCACATGTACCCTTTGAGAATCACTGATGATGTGCAAATGAAAGTTTCCATTTCTTCATACTTCCTCTTCCACTATCAAGTGCAGATGGAACTCGTTCATAGAACCCCCGTCATTGTCTCCTGTTTTATGCTGGATGAGAGGCTGAAAATATAGTTCCTCTAGTTTAGGCCTGAAAAGCATGCTATAGAAACACTTAAATCTCGTACTGCGTTCAGGCTTCAAAAGTGGAGAGGAGAAGAAACTCCCACTGAGATGTATGGAATTAAGAGTGACTTGTCTCATTCTTCTAAATGTAAGTGCAATCTTTATGATTTACCTTGCTCTCAGCAAGCCTGTTGGAAATGTGTGTGAGGCATTCATGGAATGAAACAATTGGGCTCTTGATTCAATAAAACATTTAAACTGGTTCTGAATGCATTCATGCATTGATCAATTTTGAAAAAAAAAATCCTAAATAAGCTGTGATGGGAGCCTAATAGAGCTCAGTCTCCTCACACCAGAACACTGTTAAACGTAGAGAGTTGAGTATTATAAATTATGCAGTGTAGGAAGGCCATAATATTTTAATTCATAAACATGATCAGATTTTTTGTTTTATGTAACAGAATCGCGTAGAAATAAATGATGTAGACCCTGAGGTTTTTAAAGAAATGATGAGATTCATTTATACAGGGAAAGCACCAAACCTTGACAAAATGGCTGACAACTTGTTGGCAGCAGCAGACAAAGTAAGTAATTGGTTCTCGCAGATCATTTTAACAACCTAAAAAGTGCATATTTGTGTATTTCATATAACTATAAAAAGCACAAGCAGAATCCACAAGTAACAAACTGGATGATTAGTAGTAAAAATGTTAGAAAAGAGAAGATCTAGAAATTGTATGGAAATTGCTTATGCAATTAAGTAAATTGCTGTTCTTGAAATGTTTGGAATGTCTTTATGGAGAGCTTGATGAATAGCCATCTTACTGTACCGAACTGTGGATTGATTGAGCTATTTATGAAAGTTAATGTACAAAGAAAAAGCTATACAGGAAGAACTATATGTAATGCTGGTCACATTGATTTGGCTTCAGTGATCTGTAGGCACAAGGATCACAGATCTTTCTCGCAGTCCCATCTAACGCCTGGAAAAATTATTTCTAGGGCCTCATGGTCCAGTAATTTCTAGGGCCTCATGGTCCAGTATTGTGGAAGGGAAGGAGACAATTGCCCTTTCAGCCTCTTATGTCAGCATACAGGTCCTGTAGCCCCAAGAATAAATTTCCCTCGACTTGTAAAGGATTACTGCATGGAGGGGAAAATGGGAAAGATCTGGAGTCCTTGTACCCATGGATTGTTTCCTCCAAGTTGCTGTTCAAGACTGGACCAAGGGCAAGGATACAGAGGTGCAGTTCAAGTTAACCTAAATATTTGTGGCTTTAAATTTGAACACTGCAGCTTAACCATAACTAATAATGGGTTAAGCACATCATTGTTCAACACACTTTATGAAAAGTGTAAATGGAGGATCTTCAGGTAACAGGTTGTTACCTTTTGGGGCACAGTGAATCTAAAATGGCCTCTTGACAGTCTCAAAATATTTCCATTGCAAGAGTCTGGGGTGGACTAGTGAACAGGCATAATCATTGTGGATGCTGGTTTATGTTACAAGTTTATATTTGAGACCTGAAATGTATCGCTTCATTTTGAGTGGCTTACTGTTCTTTAAGGGCCAAGTACTTCACAGTCCCCTGCAATTGTGTTATAGGTGTTTACTGTAAAGGGGAAAAAATGGAACAATGAGCAAAGTTTTTTTTCCTTTATTAGTATGCACTGGAACGGCTAAAGGTCATGTGTGAAGAAGCTCTGTGTAGTAACCTCTCGGTAGAAAATGTCGCAGACATTCTTATCCTTGCTGATTTGCACAGTGCAGAACAGTTGAAAGCACAAGCAATAGACTTCATTAACAGGCACGTACTTGTTTTTCTTTATTTTTTTAATTCTTAATTTGTTAGTATTCTTAATTGGTTAGGATAACATTCTTAAAATTATATCCGGGGTAATTTCTTGTGCTACAGGTGCAGTGTTCTTAGGCAACTTGGTTGTAAAGATGGGAAAAACTGGAACAGCAAGTAAGTAAAATGGTCACATCTGAGTCATCCATAAGTAAGCTATGTTTGTCTTCAGCCTAACTTCAGAATAGAATACACATACATACTAAATACCATCATTAAAGAAATTGTTCCTAATTTTCTGTTATATCAGTAAGTAGCCAGCTTGACAAATAGCAGGAACACGTTATACAAGATGTAAATGTTGTTCAGTCAGGCCCATTGGCATGGAAGCGTTTTCTGGAAGCGTTTTCTGGCATCCCCCCCCCCCCCAAATATCATAGTAAAGGTAAAGGTTCCCTTGCTCGAAAGCCAGTCGAATCCAACTCTAGGGTTGCGGTGCTCATCTCCGTTTCAAAGCTGAAGAGCCAGCACTGTCCGAAGACATTTCTGTGGTCATGTGGCCGGCATGACTAAACACCAAGGCGCACGGAACGCTGTTACCTTCCCACCGAAGTGGTCCCTATTTATCTACTTGCAATTTCTTGCTTTCGAACTGCTAGGTTGGCAGGAGCTGGAACTAGAGATGGGAGCTCACTCCATCATGCGGCACCCGGGTCTCGAACTGCTGAACTACTGACCTTCCACAGCCTGCAGTTCAGTATCTTAACCACTTGAGCCACCGCAGCTCCCCAAATGTCATACCACCAATGTTCCCTCTAAGCTGTGGAATCCTGTGAGCAACAATTCCACTTTCTGAGCTCCTGGCAAAGTTGTGAGCGAGCGATTTGGCTACTGCATAAATTAGTTGGCTCTGGAGCCCTTCCTGAGCCAGGACAAAAATGTGTGAGCCGGAGGCTAAAAAACTGTGAGCTAGCTCACACTAACTCAGCTTAGAGGGAACCCTGCATACCACATAATTAATTTCCCATGTTTAGTCTGCTAAATACTATGTGGTATATGGATGTGCTATTCTGGAAGTCATGGCGACCTCTGGTGACTGACCCCTACTGGGGCCTGGAGGATATTCAGAGAGATGGCTGAGTAAAGCCTGCCCCTGCCTCCCACCTCTGGTATTTCAAGGAGGTCTCCCATCCAAGTACTTGCCAGAGCTGACCCTGCTTAGCTCCCGAGATCTGACGAGATTGAGCTTGCCTGGGCTACCCAGGTCAGGGCTGGATGTGCTGTTCTTAATATTACTGAATTGCTTTTGACGAAGATCGAGTGTAATGTATATTATTCAATGTGACATTACCAGGCCCCACGCCATGACACTGATGGACCCCCACCCAATGAATCTCAAGAGTTGAGGATGCTGAGAATTGGCAACTGTAGCCACCTTTCCCTAGTGTACTTGTGCTCCCTCTCTCTCGATCTGGCTACTGATTTAAAGAATGAAAAGCTTACATGAGAATGTCAGAGATCTATCAGTTAGACTTCCTTCAGACTGAGGTTTAATAGTAAACTTTTATCTGGATCTTGGGCCAGTAATAAGGAATATGCAAACAAGCTCACATTTCAGATGACAACATTCCAGTTTTAGCTCATAATACCTTACTTATGCTTTTAGAATAAGGAATGCATTCCTCATCACTTGATTTTACACAATCACTTGATTTTACGGTGTTTGCTAATTTCAGCACCTTGTAAAAATCTGAACACATACCTTGGTTTCGGAGACCTTAAGAATGGTTTTTCTCAATGTCTCTAAAAATTCAGGACATTGGAGATTGCTTGCTAGTAAGATAGTTATGGGAGTAAAGGGAAAAATCATAGGATCATTGTACTGGAATCACTCAGGATCAAGATGCTGGGCATACTTTCTATGGAGCTCCAGGGTATGGAGAAGGCAGGAGTCAGTTATTGTGACTGTAGTGATGTCTAAAATAATCAGCTGCCTCCAAAAAGCATGATACTTGTTACTCGAAGGGGTGAACATTCTTCTGTTTCAGAATCTTCAAGATGGAGGTGTCAAGATGAGTCAAAATAAAGATAGGAAGATAGGGTTTGTGTTGCTAGTGGGAAAGAAACTACTTTTCTTTTGCAGAAGGGCTCAGACTGAAGCACAAGTAATTTTAGCAGTACTGTGTACAAATAATACTTGGTTTGTATTTGTAACCGGATCCTATACATATTTACTTGGAAGAACACGCTGGGGGATTCAGTGGGACTTAATTTCTAGAAAGTTGCATAGCTTTACAACTTGAGTCTTTTAAACATGAATCTGATTCCTGTAAATCCATTTATTTACAGCCAAGCAACAGACATAATGGAGACGGCAGGCTGGAAGTCAATGATCCACTCCCACCCCCACTTAGTCGCTGAGGCCTTTCGAGCGCTAGCATCGGCACAGTGTCCACAGTTTGGTATTCCACGCAAACGACTAAAACAGTCATGAAATCTTCCATGGACTTTAGCGAGCTCCTCCTCCATGTCCAGAGGAGTCTTCTCAAACCATCAGCCAGAATTTGTTATCCCTGTCCACAGAACATAATCTGGAAGCTTTTAAGAATGGATAATATATGGCTTAATAATCAGCTTTAAATTAGACTGATAATTCTCCAGTTCACTGAAAGGCCTTAAATTCAACGACTCTAGTTCATGCATTTTTGTTTTGTTTTTAAAACTGTGCCTCGTCTTTTTGACTGGGCCACGTGGGATTGCACTAGCTCCATAATGCAGTAATGTTGATAAATGAAGACCGTTCTTGAAAGGGATCTTCCTCTTCTCCATCTTCCCCCTCCCCCAAGGGTATCATTTGGTCTTGTGGTAACTGGAAGTTTTTAACTAGACTCTCATGAAAAGCACTTGAGTTGGGGGGCAGCAAGCACTCCAGTCCAAGTACTGTATTTGGGGTGCTTCAGAGGGTGCTATCAGGCATGCTGTGGCAATACACTATTCTGAATATAATTTATTTTTCATTGGTTCAGGTGAGTGAGGGAAATATGCAATGTCTTGGCCCAGAAATGTATTTTACTAAGAGTTTGTAAACGCTTACTGTGTGAGTGTGTCCATCATACGTTAAAAGAAACACACAGTAACCTTTTTGGCCTGTGTTTCTTTGGGATCCATTGCTGTTTTACTGAACCAGAGTGAAAGTTAGCATTTTGATATGGAAAGTAATTAAATGACACATGCAAGGGGGAGAAATGCTTCCCCCCCCCCAATGGAATATGTTGAAGATCAAGGATGCATAAGAATGACCAAATGTAAATTTCAGAAATGGGCCAAATTATGGATTCTCAGTATGCACTTTTAATGTGTAACTTTTGTATGTTGTGTGGTACATATATATTTTGGTTTTGATAAATATGGTACAGTAATTGTGGCCTAACTTTTGAAATACATTAAGATACCCATAGCCACATGGGATTTAGTTTTGTTACTGCAAACAAGGAAAGCATGACTTTAGAGATGTTGATTCAAAGTGACTATCTCAAGTGTTCACATCAGAATCCATTCTATTTTCACACTTCGGACAGGTTTAGCTTTATTTCCTTAGTGTGTGTATGCACAAGCCTGTTCACACTGGTGGAAGTTGCACAGACACACACACTTAGCAGGAAGGATAGAGGTCTGAAATGTATTTGTAAGCACTGACTTGTTCTTTCTAGCATTTGTTGTTGTACTAGCATTGTGGATGGTATTGAAATTCTGCATAATGTGAAAAAGCATATAACAGCCTGTAAACTGCTTGTAATGGGCCAGTTTTGTATGATATGAACCTTAGCTTTAATGCCACCACTTCCAGTGTTTTTGCTAGCTTGTTTACAATTGGGAGGGATTTTTTTCTGCAACAATGCACATTCTAAATGTTTCTTCAGTTATTACATTGAATTTACTTTAATGATAGTGATGTGCTATATTTGTAGCTCAGTCAAAGTTGCAGTAAACTTCATGCAAGTGGTATTTTTTGGAATGTTACAACTGAAGATTTTAGATGGCCCATTCAACTTGCTCAGTTACGGTTTATTGCCTTTTCCAAAGGGGTGTCCTTCCTATTTTCAGGAGTGAAGCACTGAATGTTCTGGAGTATGTGTGTTCTTGAATTATGGGTTCTAGTGCACATTTAAAGTACAATTGGGGGCAAGTAAAAGGCCAAATGCAAAACTTTGAACTGAATTTCTTCAGGCACAATTAAAGGGCCATTTCATTTGTGCTCCTGGTGATTTTCAGTGCCTACACTTCATTCAATGAGGTACAAAGTGATACAGTGACATCCTATGTGAAGATGCATGGTCGCTTTTGAAGTTTTGGGGGAGTTTTCTCTGTCTAAATTAAGGTCTTGTAAGTGTTCTTATAGTGAGACACAAGGATGCCTATCCCTCTGTAATGGAGAAACTCATGCCGCTGTGTAACTAATAATAATAATGACCAATTCCGCATCTTGGAAATCACAGCTAAAATATATGAAGTGACTTGAATATTTAATACTACAATTGTCCATTTCAGCTTATTCAAATATTACTGGATACAGCAATCAAATGAAAAATCTTAAGTGTTTTGAAAGGTTTTTAAAAGCTTAATAGCAACATTTTGTACCAAAAATATCAAACACTGTGCTGTAAGATTATCTACATTTCTCTAAATGTCTACTTTTCAAAATAATGCATACCATACATTACACAGTCCGTCATGACAGTTGATCTACTGTTTTGTTATGTGTGTGTTGGCTGTGTATGTATAACAAATGTTGTATTAAGTGGGTGTACTAATCTGCCTCGTTTTCTTCAGTAAACCACATACAGTGTTCTTACTCTTCCAAAAGAGCTGGCAAGAACAATTTTCTTAGTTACTGCAGCTTGTATTTACTATAGTCCCCTAAAAACACATTGTAAGTTCAAAGTAGTGCAGGAGAAAAGTCAGTTTTAAAAGAAGAAAGTAAGTATTTTCAGGTTGAAAACTAAAAATCTTGACAAGGTAGGCATAAATCCCTTTAGCAGGATTTTCAGTACAATTAACCAAGTGCCATGTTTGGCTTGCCAACTCCGTCCCTTCAGCACCCATCAGCCATTGCCACTGGAAATCTCCCCCCCCCCCCAGGGGAGCACCCTGCATGTGTTGTATGTGTGGTGTGTGGGTTTTAAACAAAAATTATTTTCAAAAAATAGAATTTGGTGTGCAGTTTAAGAGTATCACGAGGTTCCACTTAAATGACTTCATAGATAGTGTTTTCAAATGAAGGAAACTTCAGTAATGCATCCAGACTTGACAGTCCATTTACTGCATGCTGAAGTATGAATTCATAGTGCCTTTTCCCAAATGTAAGAGAATAGGATGCAAATTTTTGAAATGTAGGAAAGCTAGAGAGCAGTTCTGATATTTAGTTTCTCTGCAGAAAATTGTTGCAGGCATTCCTCATGTTGAATGGGCTGAATGTTGACTGTGGCTGTTAACACAGAAGTTTTTTGATGGCTCCAGTATTTAAATGTGGAATGGCCATAAGGCCTTGATGACTTTTGCCTTCAGAGAGAGTAATATAGGACATGGTCTGCATGCTCTTTGATTTTCTCCTTAAGCCCCCTTACAAAGAGAGCATGCTCTCAAGCTCAAGGCTACGTTTTTGTGGTAGTAAGTTTTCTGTAGAAACGTTAAGTAGCTGGGAATGTTTTGTTTTAGATCATAGGGTATGACTTGTTAAAATGATTGAAGTTTACCCCAAGATTAATTTTTATTGGGAGAAAGATTGGATTTTTGTAACACTTCCTACAAACTGGTAGCCTGTTGGTTTATTCCACAACAAAATGCATTGGTTTGCTTGCTTTCTGCTTGCAGCAAATGGACTTCCACGAAATGGCAATTCATTATTTTTGTTAGTGTGTGCTGTGGTTTTAGTTAATCATACTCTGTAATCTAGTTAATCCTGGATTTTGATATGTCAAAATGAAGGTTAATTGATGAGTCCTGTTTTGGAATCTAAACATTGGAAGAACTTAAACCCGGTCTTTGTTCCAAGTTACTCATATTACCTATCATGTTAAACACTTGCATCAAACCATCCAGCCTTTTATATCCGCCTGATGTTAACAGTGAAATACCTTTTGTACCTTGTTGCTGAAAATATTTTTGCATTTCAGGACATCAAGTTACAATAAAGTTGTTACTTATACAGAAGGCATTTGTGCACTTTGTCTTTTGGATACCGAGTTTGCTGTGTCTTTTCTTTTAAAAACCTGCCTGTCCCCTAAGGAGAGCATGGTTTCCCTCTCCCACATCACAACATCTCTTCAAGTTAGGTTGTTCTGGAAGGGACGAGCTTCATAGCAGAATGGGAAGCTTGGACTCCCTGGTTGGAGTTTGACACACAAACCACTACACCACACCACCTCTAAGTGGCACAAGACTATATTTTCCCGAGATCCAACCACCTCAGCAGACTTGATTGTAACACTTTTCAGCAAGTGTTTTGCTATTTTATGTAGAAATGAATGCATGGGAAAGTAACCGGAATAGGCCATGTCCTAACGCTATTTTATGTAGAAATGAATGCATGGGATAGTAACTGGAATAGGCCATGTCCTAACAATTAAAGCAATCTTAAAGAAAGCATTTTTCAGGTGTAACTGACAAGAATTCTCACATTTTGTGGATACTACAGGATGGTGATACTCATGAGGCTTGCATGGCTTGCTGTGAACTTTAAAAGGTAGCTGTGTAGCATGCAACAGGCACTGGTGGAGGAAGAGGAGGGCTTGGAGATCCATGAACATTTTTATATCAAAATATAAAGTCCTGGGTTGTTCTGGTACAGTCCAGGAGCTGACACTTCCTCATGGTGTAATCCTGTTGTTCACACTACTTAAGAACCTTATTAATGTAAGCTGAACCACTCCATGGATATTGTCTCATGTGGCAGTTTTACTCACAAGTCACTCCTTTGACATAGCTTGTAACGTAAACGATGGTATACCAGTATGTCAAGTAAACATGTATAAATCCTTCCCTTGTTATGATTCTCCTTATGGCAGTTGCTTGCAGGGGCAGGTCCATTACTCAAAACCATAATATGAGAAGCAGTTCTGGTATCCTTATCTCAGTTTGAGGCTATGAAGCATCATCCGAGCCTCATCTAAAATCATGTAAGAATCCTAAAACTTCCCTGGTTTTAAGGTACCATTTGCTAAGTGTGTGTTTGCTATTAGTGATATACAGGCAAGGGTTCTGCAAGCACATATGGGAGCATCTCATTTTAACCCTTCCCCCCCACTACTTTTTCTTCCTTTGAAGCACCCATAGCCTCTCCCCTTTTTTCCTGCTTCCTTCTCGCCCTCCAACAAACCAGCCAACCCAGCTTCATCTGCCCCTTACAGTTTTGCCTCCCCCTTGCAGCCTGTACCCAGGAAAATTATGGCCCAATTGCACAATGACAGTTGCTGGACCCAGTAGCACGCTGGGGAACCTGCAAGAACTTGCAGGAGGTGCCTTACTTTCCCCTGTATCCCACTCCCAACACTATTTCCTCATACCCTCTTCCTGGCAACCCCCATTTTATCACCTTTCCCTGCTTCTTCCCCCCCACCCCCCAGCCAAGTAACCAACTTGCTATC